CATCACAAAAACATCTACTACCCTATTTACCTATTTCTGGACTCACATCATCGAATACGACACTGAAAACTGCATTTTCATGATCGCTCAAATCCTGGCTTTAATTGCATGCTACTTTTACCTATTTTACTATGGAAAGTCTCAACGGCTTCCACCCTGCTGTGAACAACGGTTTCCGCCCTTGTCTCAACGGACCCACCTAATTCTATGGTGGGGCGTTCAACGGCTTCCGACGTAAGCCATCGTGGACGTGATGTTAGACGTACGAACATAGTTTGTTGCCATGGAGGAAGACAGAGAAGTGAAGGACCATAGCGATAGGCGGCTATTCCCGAATTCTATTTCCTCCCGGCCTCAGCTCTCCGGCGTGCCTCGTCAACAACGCTCTTGATACTGTCATGGAATCTCCAGGTGCTCTTGGCCATTCTAGATATGTGTTTCAAGTCTAGTTCTCCACCATCCTGCTGAGCCAGGCTCGCGGCCGAAAACAAAATGTTCCTGATTTGTCGTCCATTAAGTCCCTCGGTCCAATCTCTAGCCTCTTCTTCGTCCTTAAACCAGCGTCGAATCATTTCCTTGTCCTTCACCTGGTCAGGCTTGAGCTGGCCAATGAAGTTGTCAAAGATCTCCTGTTTCTGGTCGCGTTGTAGATCATCATACTTGATGCCCAAATTTACGCGGCTCTGTACGGCAATATCGAACTGGGTAATTCGATTCGTCGTAAGTATTAGAATGCCCTCATAGTATTCCAGGACCCTGAGCAAGACCGACACTAAAGCGTTGCGGTTGAGATCTGACGTATGACTGCTCCGCGATTCGAGGAACACGTCGGCTTCGTCAAACAGCAATACAGCCCGCCAATTAGCCGCCAGTTCGAAGAGCGCTTCGAGATTTTGCTCCACCTCCGCTGGTTTGAGACCAATATCGGAAACACCGACAGAAAAGAGCGGCTTGCCGGCGAGCTGGGCGACGCTTTCTAAAGAAGAAACGAAGCACAGTGGTTAGCCAAAGGAGAGTTCTATGCCTGATAATACTGACAATATCGACGGCGGACTTACCTGCCGTAAGAGTTTTTCCAACACCTGGTGGCCCGTGGAGCAAAATCACTAGCCCCTTTCCTTTACCTTTGATGATGTCCGTCATCAATGGCTTCGAATTAGCCCCACTAGAGTGACACCGCACTAGGTCCTTGATTAGCGACTTTTGTGTTGCAAGAAGCTGTAGCTTCTCAAACGCCTCGGAGCTACGCAATTCCTTGATATCTTTGAGGTAGCTTTCCCATTCTTCGGTGGCTTCGCTGGAGCTTGTCTTTTGTTTCCCTACACTTAATTCCAACCAAGTTCTTGAATCCAGATGATAGCCAAGTACCCTCGGAGGGCAAATCTTGAACTGGAGATCTTCGAAATGGGTCTGCGTCTTGACACCGTCGTAGGCCATCTTCTGGCTGTCTCTGAGAGCTGCGTTCGTAACGCAAGCTGGGCATCGACACTCATTATTTCTGCGAGGAAAGTCTGCCGAGCCCATAGGTGCGTAAGTGCCTGACCATGGGGAGTACTGAAGGTAAGCTTCAAAGTCCACCATAACACGGCCTTGGATACGTCGTTTTTTGGGCGCTCTTCGCTCTTTGCCCCTCTGACTGCCTCTACTAAGTATCATGCGCCACAAGATGTCGCCACCATCGTCGGCCTCATTTTGAAAGCCAGTACCGTGAGAGACTACAAATCCGTCGTAATCAAACATCTGCGATCCCTGCTGCTTCACGCATAGTTCCGCAAACCTCTTGCCGCGTTCTAGCAATGCCGCTTCCATTGCTTCTCGTGAAGCTTCATCAGATCTTGATGCGTCTTCCGGTTTGTGGAACTTGAAAGGATGACAATGAAGTGTACTGATAACCTTGCTCCCCGTATACTGTTCGAATCGGAATTGCACTGGCACTCTCTTGAAACAAGCCCCGTCCCAGTCGTAGGCCCAAGCAACCATCGACCATGACACATCCGACGTGTCTTTTCCAGGTCTCTCGTCTATGTCGCGCTTGTCGTTGGAGTCCTTGACGATAAAAAGCTGGGGTTCGTTCATGAACAGTGTTGAGAAAACGATCTCCCCGGGTGGAAAGATGGTCCACAAATGCTCAAACTGAATAGATCCAGTGTTGTTCTGCGCCTCGACTGATTGAAAGTACTTGCCCAACTCTGGTATCGTCCTGACGAGCTTTAGCATCAATTTCAGCTGCGCACGTGCGTTCTCGAGGTTGCTGGCTTTTCCCAGATATTCCAGCGCTCGTGCTTTTTGCTCCTCAGACCCGGCCATCGTGACGTCTGTACGGGGTCCCAGCTTTTGGATGCGAACCTTCATTTCCTCCGTCCGGAGCGAATCCTCGATTGCCAAGTCATTTAGTCTGTCCCAGTTGTGTATTAGAGGCTCACACGGGCTGACGAAGACGACAGGATCCTTTGTTTTGTCCCAGGACGAAGGCGAATCGGGCGGGGGAAGGTGCAAATTGGGATATGCCTCGAGAGCTACGCTCAACAAGGCCTTCAGCTCTGGTGCTCGGACGCTTATCTCAGTTTCGAAATATCTACCATGCTCCTCCACTATTCTGGCGTATTTTAGCTGCTGGGGCGACCCTTGGCTTTCGCTTCCAGTCTCGATGGATTCCAGCCCCAGCTTGACCAATTCGGAACGCTCTAAGGCGCACTCTGCTGAGCCATTGATAGGTTTCAGTGGACGCTGAACAAAGAGACACCTTGGCGTCTGGGGACCGTTGTGTGGATGAGTCTCAGCCGATGTGGTTTCGTTCTCTTTCAACTCGATATCTCCCTCAGATGTACCCTGGCCATGGGTGGTAAGCACAAACACTTCAGTAAGAATACTGAGCTAATAGCTTTATTTCTTTCATAACTTACTGGCTGGGAATTCAGACTCTTTCCCGCAAGCAGCGCAAGGTCAGAAGTGGCCTTTTCTTTGTTAGTCCCACCAACCCTAGACTCCAAGTCCTTGATCCTCAATTCAAGCAGCGCTATGTACCTGCGCTCGAGGGTGGAAATGGTGTCGCTGGAGAAGTGCTGCATTCCTGTCGCCATCACATCAAACTGCAGGATAAAATGAAATCGTAAAATGATTATGTTCAGGTCTCGTTACGGGAAGTCAATGAAGCAATAGATGACCATTATTCTGCCCAAGCTGAGGAATTCGAGCTATATTTACTGACTGAATAAATGAGGTTTTAAAATGCTGAGGTCACCTTTTTCCACCTGTCTTCAATCCTGCATTGATAAATCAATAGTCGCATGCAGCTGAGCCTGAAAAGGGTAAGCGGCCATGCAGAATAAAGGCACAGTTATTGTAATTTTCAACTTTCTGACCACCCATGCATGCATAGGCGCAGATCAATTGCTACTTATGGTTATGATAGTGAAGACTGAGAATACTCCTTTTCACCTATCAGCTTCTATGTAATTGATAATGCATGAATAAATCAATAGCTATATGCAGCTGAACCTGAAAAGGCAAGCCGCTGCGCAGAATAAAGGCACTTTTCAACTTTCTGACCACCCATACATGCATAGGCGCAGATCAATTGTTACCTTTTCTTTTATGATAGCCTCATTTAACAGTGAGGCCACCATTTAAACGTCTACCCTCATCAAATCATTCTGAACCCCTCTTTCAGCTGATGACATGTTCTGATCCTAACTGGTTTACTGTCTGACATAAATAGGTCTTACTACATATTATAATGCACTTCCTGCACGATGCATGCAGATACTACTTGGAGGCACAGCGTTCTATACGCTGAGAGCCTTCCGCCGGTGTAGATTGGTGCTCATGGAGGCACGATAGGGCCTGGAAGTCCCACGCATGCTTCCATAAATGCACGGCTTCAATCGTAATGTTCCCAGGGTACTGGCGATACTGCAACCTTTCCGTTATAACTGCGACTATAATTCCTAGGCGCTTTCTTGAAGACCACTGATAGGCATCTCCTATGCACGCATGAACGGAAACACATCCTCCTCTACCGGGAAATCTTCAGCTTCGAGACCAACCTCTTCTCACGATCATCATTTCCAGCATGGGACAATCAGCCGAGTCTTCACATGGGGTTAGATACACTAGTGAAGAGATAGAAGGATTCTGGACCAGAACCGGGAATGAGCTTCAGCGGTAAGCATCTCCAACAGCATTAACCCACTTATCTAAGTGTTATTAATTGTGACAATCTCTTAATCCATTTCCTCATCTGATAGCTCTGTCATGGAGAAGGCTGCATCTACTTCTTTAGACTCGATTGAGTTGCTCTGGCAACGAACTCGCAAGAAGGTCCTTCAAGGTGGTTGGCGATTCACCTTCTCTGAAGCGAAGCCAGACGATGTATCCGCTCTGTATGCCTCAGATCTCGACGCGCTAGACAAACTCATTGATGAGCGGATCAAAATCGCGTCTTTGCTGGAAAAATCTCATCGTTCTGATCCAAGAATCAGCAAGCGAGCTGGCAGAAGGCTGTGCGACTTTCTCGTGGGGTTTCGAGGCTACTGTCAAGCTTACTCAGGTGTGGTGCAGCTCATGGGGGGCCTCGACCAGAGCTTCGTGACGGGTGCTCTTCAAGCTCTAGGGCTGTTCATGGTGGTAAGTAGAAACTGAAAGCTTTCATGAGCGAGGAGTGTCTTTAAAAGGATGAAGACCATTTACTTGGTCGGGCTCTAGACTAGAGGTATCTCTGATAACATGCTCGCAGGTTGCCGCAAACAAGGTCGAAACAGAATTGGCGCTTTACAGCACGATTCAGACATTGAAGTCTGAGTATTCGCGGATCCAAAAGCTAGTCGGCATCTATAGCAATAGCAGTGTGTTAAAGAAGTGCGTTGCTACTGTGTACCGTCTTGGTATTGAGTTCATGCAAGAGGCAACCGTCTATTACTCTCGGAGTTCCTCCAGGAGGATCTGGCACGTAGTAGTCCGACCTCCTCAACTTGACTTGGAAAGAAAAATATCGGATCTGCGAAGCGCAGTTGAAGAACTTGTCAAAGAGCGTGACATGGAGGCACACTTGCGGCTGGACAGAGTAGAGAGCAAAATAGATGCGGGGCTTGAGCGTAGGTGCTGCATTTCTACTGGCCTGCTCTTATCATATGAACTAATGAATTCCGTAATAGAGACCAAGAACGAAAGAACAAACGCCAGGCTTGATAAGACGCGCTCCTTTCTCGGCCTTCCTCCAAATAATGCGTTCACCCAGTTACAAGACTTCATCTCCTTACTAGATGAAGAGTTCTCACACCTCAAGAGGATACCCCCCTTTCGAGCCGAAGATTTGACTGGCCAGGGTGCATTCAACATTTGGGTGGAGGAAACAGCACAGATCAAAAGATCAACATTCTTACTTGTTCATGGGCAAACCATAGCCCCCTGGGACACGGCTCTGGCATGGACATCCCAGGCTAGCGTCGAAGCAGTACGATTGTTAGAGGACAAGCAAGCTATCGTGTCGTGGCATTTTTGTGGGCCAGACAACAAGCACGAAGTTGACATCGGAGGTGTTTGTCGCCCTATTCCCGCCGCCGCTCTGGTCCTTCTCTCTCTTGGATACCGATTACTAGAATTGACACCTATCGGTCGAGAAGCGCTAGGCAGCTCAAACACTCCAGACTTTGAGTTCCAGCTCCAACAAATTCTAGGTACCGCTCAAAACAGCCGAGAAAAGATTGACGCCCGCAGCACCGGGACAGCAAATGTGACGCTAAAGGATTGTTCGACAGCTGCTATGGATTTTCTTAGAGCGTCCATTGCATTACTTGTACAGCATAGACGAGCTGTGTTCTCTGAATCTGAGCAGTGTGTGGTCTATTTCGTTGTAGATCGATTCGATGTACTTCCACAATACGACACAATGCTACTGCAGCCGTTGATGGTTTTGGTGCAGGAACCGGGGACTGGGGTAGTGGTGAAAGTTCTAGTAGCTGGAGAACGTAAACTGTCAGACAACCAAGGGAGTTCTGGGTTTGCAGATTTTGTAACGGATCATCGACAAAGCTCCGTATGGGAAGAAATGGAGTTGGACCAGGGTACCTGAGGGACTGATTTGCTTCAATCAACCGGAAAGCATGCATGCGCACGCAGCCTTTTCTTCTTCCTCCTTCCCCTCGCTGATATCAGAGAAGATGGTTACATATAAATACGATCCTCCATTACGAGTCCATAACTCGGAGAATGACATGGCATTGATGATGACCATGCGCTTGTGTGTTTATGTCCTCAGCTCTGAGGGTTCATAGCCTGCGTCAAGTGGCTTGATTAATCCAGCTACGAGTGCCGGGTGTGCCTGGCTGCAAAAGTCTATGCCTAATCCCTCACGAAAAGACGATATTAGGCCAGTATCCAGGCCTCAAGCCTAGGGCTGAGTGACGTCTCAGGTCCTTGAATACGGGCCGTAACAGGGTTAGGCGCTCAATTACAAGGATACGTTTTCAGTCGCCAAAGTCCTGATTTCGATAGACGGGTTAATGATAGACTGTGCTGCGGTCCAACCAGCGACAGTGGCATAAGCTCAGGCTGGCTGGCTGATCGGTCAATTGGTAGGACCTCGAATCTTGGAGAGCCAAAAGCGGAGCGTCCAAGGATTCATCTCGTCTGGATGTCACTCACTTAATGAACTGGCTTGGATCAGACGGGCCAGGCTCCGGGATGCCGTCACATGAAATCAGCGAATGGCTCCAGGCAATAGCCTTTTCAGCTTAAATCACCAAGGCCAATCTTTTCTATCTTAGCCTGTTTTGCCTGTGACTTTGTTGTTTTGAGGAAGTTTCGAGCCCACGCAGTAGGGGGTTTCACAGTAGGGGAAAAAGCAGTAAAAGCACCTCGGTCAGTGTCCAGTCCAGTAGCTATGCAGTACACGTACCCAAGCTGCCTATGGCTTTACTCTCTTATTCGGTCTTCTTCTCTTTCTTCTTCGTCGTTAGATCGCGGCTTTCCTTCATGCCCCGTCTTCGACGCTTGTCTTTGACCGTCACAGGGAAGACCCACCCAAAGTCGTCATTCCGGACGCCGCTCGGCAGCGGATCTCCCGACGACTAGAACGGCCGCCACGATACCTGCAATCATTCCGGTAGGTCCAGGTTGAACCGAAAAAAATCACCAGGCGCTGTCGAAGTCTGAGGCGAGCTAGACGCAACAGAACGATAATCTCCGCTCTCAGGCTTGGGACAACCCGGAGCAGCATCCATGAACGAAACCTCAATCGGCAAGGTCACGGCAGTGACAAAGATATGCGGTATGATCTGGGTTCAATCTCGCATAGGACTTCATTCGTCCTTGTTTGTGATTCGAGAGAAATGAAGGTATCGAAGCATGGAGATTTCCCAAAGACCATGGCGACAGCTGATGGAACTAGGTCAGTAACCCGTCAGCATAGTCGATAAGACGACAGTCAAATGGAGGCCAAGGAGAAGAGACTGCGGGAAGGACACGACAAAACCATTCGCGCATCACTATATTCCACCCCACCTCCCTCGCCTCGTTGACGAACACCAGGAAAGTTTGCAAGGTCATGGTCTTGCTGAAAGTTTTAACTAGACACGCTCTGGGATTGGACACTGGCTAGGGTACGCCAGTTCTGATGAGATGCAGGTATGAACTCAGCAGCTTTGGCCCTCTTCTTGGGCTGGACTGCTCCTCGGGTCCATCCCCAAGCTGGTCTCTCAGCAGCCATACGTACGAGTGAAGTTCTGCGAATTCAGAAAGCCGCCATGACAAAGTAGTACCCTAGCAAGGAGCCAGAAAAGCATAGTACCTTACCCGAAAGTCGCACCAATGACCTGATGGGCTTTTCTCGGTAGATTGCCTATCTACTGACAGCATGTTTCCAGCGCCAAAGTAGTGGCGGAGCTATGGGCGCGGCGGTGAAGCAGGCAATTCCAGCAAAGCCCACGGATGTCACAGGCCGATACGCCATCGTTCATCCAAAGAAGAATGGTTTTAGAAAGCGACTGCTCGATGAACCGGCCAATCTACAAGGTCGTGTCGTCGTCTGATAATCAGCCCGTTGCCCCGGGGTGCGTCACCGTCAAGACCTGGACAAAGTATGCCTAGGCAGAGAACAGTATGCTTCCATCCTCAGATATGTTACTTATCCTGGCCAATCTTGAAGCTGTGTCGTGACGGCTAGGATAGAGGGAAGCCTTCCTTTCCACACGCCCTCTAACTCTTCTCCTAGTCTAATTCCACGACCAATCAGCCCTTGGCTTCTACCAGAGTATTCCCGGCGTCTTAAGTCTCACACTACAGCCGAAACAGACCTTCGGTATTCATTGATTGTCGACAAATCCTATGTATCCCCGTCTTCAAACTGTTAGCAGCATATCCAAACTATGGTCAGAATTTCTTTAGATAGCAAAGGGCTCCATAACAAGAGAAACAACAATAGATGCTGGCAACGGCGAACAAGCTCGATTATTCAACTTTGGGTCGCTTGTTTTATCCATGAGCGCGTCTCTCGAACACAATGCACCTGGAGCGAGGCACATGTACTTGTAGTCTCATTGATGACCAAGTGCCTCCTTCGGCGTTTATGCATCCAACGCCCGCACCTTAACCGGCTTCGTCTGCCCAGTCGATGCCAGAATCTTGGCGAGGTTGATCGTGTGGAGGATCGTTTCGACAGACTTCATGAACATGGGAGTGCCTGTATTTGTAGATTTGGCCCAGTCCTTTTTGGTTACCTTATTGGCTTACTCTTAGCTCGCAGGTAACAATGCTGATGATCAATATGCTGCCTAACCCATCAGGTCTCCGTGGCTGGGCATGTAGAGCCGGGCAATCACAGCCGCTGTTTTTTGCCGTGTCTTGCCTCGACGCACACTCGACCATCGAAGTCCATGTGAATGTTTCATCGATCGACAGGGCACCGGATATCGCGCTGAAGAAAGGCATTGCGAGCAACTTGGAAACACACGGGCTCTGCCCCCGCGCACATCAGGTCTGGGAGGCGTATTGCGGGACAGGCATGACAGCATATCACTACCGAGCATGATGGCCAAGGGCGTATCTTGAACGCCCAAGGACAGGTTTGTCACGCAGAATGTCGCGATTCATGAGGCAGAGAGCCGAGGGGTTGGCTCGGTATATCACCGGGAATGTTGTGAGGCAGTGTTGTTGTTGTTGTTGTATTCAACGCCGAGGCGGCAAGGGCGCAACCGCCCTTGCGGCCGACCTCCCGAAGGGTATATGACGTGAAGGGCCGCAGGCTCAAGCTATATACTCTAAAGTACACGCCTCTTCCTAACGTCCTCCAAATCCTGCCCGTGAGCTGCTGTGTGTTCTGTCCGTCCCTAGTTCCCGCTGGTTCCCTAGTTCCGTTGTAGCCGTCAGATCGCCCTTGGTGGCGTTGAAGGATTCAACAGCCACAGCACTATTTCCTGGCATCCCCATCCCAAGACTTTCAAGTCTCAAAACATTGGGCCGGCCCGGGTGAGGTCCCACTCACTCTTCTCGACTGATTCCGTGTGCGTAAATAGTTTCAATCGCGCGCACTAGGTTTATCCCGTCACCTAGGTGTGCCACCTATGAGGCTGATGTGGGGGCACAGGTCAAGAGTGGATTCTGCCAACACATCATGGCTACCTCACCCCAAAGTGCAGTTTGCCAGGTTGTCGATGCAGCTCGAGAAATGTCGGAAAGTTAAATTTCGTATATCCGGCACAGCACGGATCTTAACGAAGAGAAGGACGGTGTCGGGAAACATTGAGGTTGAATTGGGCTTGCTGTTGACCTGCCACCGGCCAAGGCCAAGCCTTTACCACCCTCTCACCGAACCAAACAGTGGAATCATGAATCGCCGTCAATGAACATTGTGCCAAGTAGTTGACCAAAGTGGCGTGATTAAAGAACTTCTACAGCAAATTCAGGCTTAATAGGTCCAATATCGCTTGCAATGCGGGTCCGGTGTGCAAGTTTGGCGCCTGGTATTGCTTTTCGCATGGCGCAGCCGTCGGCCGACTTGCAGAGGGTGAAACATAGTCGCACGGCAGGGCTGTCGCCATTAATGGCTCACCTAAGGAGCCTGCCGGCATCTCAACTCGGCAAATGGGTTCTCACGGAATTCAACAACCAGTGATTGAAGGCAAGTTCCTGCTTGCGCCGTATTGGTATCGAGACCAAGGAAGCCTGGCCCATGATCATCACCAGGATAGGTCCATCCCACAGGGCCATTCCGTCCGATTTCAGCTCGCGATAGATGGGGCTACGAGCGGGAGATCTGCAATGGCCCCTGTGTGCAATGCAGCACCCGTACACGTGTAATAAAAAAGTCTTCCCGAGGGCAACGTTGATGATCTGATCCTGAAAGCTAGCCCTGCAAGTAAGAGTGGATCTAGATCGGGCCAGGCGCGTGGAATCCGGGGTCGCGGCGGCGGCTGTGCCCCTTACCGCAGGAAGCTGTACCCTCGGATGTGTTCATCGTTTTCTATTGTGGCTGGCATGGCTTTACAAATCCAACGAGGGGGTTACTGGGATCAGGCAATGTCCTCTCTGTTCACCTAACACATCGACTGTCCAGATTGGACGACATCTGCCAAGGTGGCCAAGCTATGAATCGCCTCCCCTTGTGTCACTCCCTTCTCCACATGTCAGTCCACTTCTGGTGACTCGAGCTGCACCTCAGGCTCTCCCGCTTTAGCGTCGTTCTCTTTGCCTTCCTCGCCGGAGGTTTTGCCCACGGCCTGCTCCTCCTTCTCTTCCGGCTTCACTGGCTTGACAGGCATCTCCACGCGCACGAGATCCACCTCCAAAGCAAGGCAACCCTCCCCGAGTTTCGACTTTAACCCGTCCTGCTCGACGTCGAAGTACAGAGACCAGAAGCCGTCGTTCTCAACTACAAAGAAGCCCTCCCAACTGGCAAAGGTGAGCCGATGGTCCTGCCTGGTGCAGTCGAAGGGACCGTTGTAGTTGTGTTGCGCGTACGGACGGGTCCCGAACTTGAGTTCATACGTGTCCCTGTCCACGTAGATCCAATTCATGATCGGGGGCTCGTCGCAGATGGTCGATACGAGGCCCGCATACTGGGCTTCGGGGTACGGCAAGAAGTACCCTGCAAATTGATGGCCGAACGCCGAGTCAGGGTCAGTTCCTGTGTCCACGAAGAGCTATGCAGATGTAAGCGAGTGAGCCTCGGAAAACCGAAAGGATTGGAAGGGACGATACCTTGTCTCCGGATAGAACTACATGTTTCCCTTCGAGTTCCGGAGAGTATTTGGTGGATTTGCGGCACCGGATAAGCAAGTTGTTCTTGCGACTGCGATGTTCTTTTCTTCTAGCTGTCTGTTGCGTATGTCGGATGGCCTCCGCCATGCCGAATGCCGCCGAGAACGCGACGAAAAATGCTGTGACCATTGTGTGAAGTGCAAAATGTGCTTGTTGTCTCTGAGGTAGCGTTCGGCAAGAGGGGCGTTGCAGCTCGATGGACGTGGATTTATGCCACTGTCTGACAAATTTGCCCGATGTGTCTGGCGCGCCTCTCCCGACACCTTAAGTGCGAGCAGGCGGTTGAACAAGCATCATCCCCTGAGCATGGACCTGCTTTCTTTTGTTGGGAGCTGCGGTGAACATCCGTCGGGTAGGGCGAGGAGCTGAGTTTTCACTGCAGATATCTCCGCCGTGGCATTGCACAGTAACCGTAGACAGGGTGCGCATCCTTGTCGAGGATCCCAGCAGTAGAGGTCCTCCCTTACGTCCGGATGAAGGGAAATTTGGGAGTCCACCAGCTTCAGCTACATATACTCGAAATGTCTCACAACACCAAGCTCGGAAAAGGATAAAGAGGAAGCCAGCGCCCGCCGAAGATGACTACCTTTTTCCTCAGCAGCACCAAAGTTCCTCAGTCTCATCGCAGATCAGCTTGGAGATACCAACGCCAGAGTCCTTCGCCCAAGAAACCACCAGACAAGCCCGCAGATACTCAACCACCAAAACCGCAACTTCGTCATACAGGCAAGCTGTGGCATAAACGATCTCACGACAACCTCGACTCCGCTTCAAACCATTCACGATCTTCCTCACGTTCCCGACCGAACACCGCCAGAATGTCTTCCCCGTAAGTACCATCAAGCCCCAGTTTTGCTTTCATATCCAATTGATTCTCGCCCCCAGTACCAAGAACTCCAACCCCCCGACCAGCTCCACCACTGCCTCCTCCAACCTGTCCTCCTCTACCAACTCCGCGTCTAACAACCCCAGCTACTCCAGCAACACTACCGCTCCCAGCAACTCTCTCAGCACCAGCAACCCCAACAACTCCCTCAACACCACTAACACCAACAAGGAGAACTCTGGAAAGTCCCTCCCCATGCCTGGCCTGTCCGGCCCCGCCAACGGACCCATCGGTCAGTCTAAAGTCTCCAATGTCAGGCTCCCTCTCTAACATCGCATAGGAAACCTCCTCAAAGGTCCCGTTGACGACAACGGCAAGCTCAAGGACGCCGGCCTCATGGTCGGTATCAAGCTTGACCTTGAAGCCGAGGTTCACCTCACAGCTCGGGTCCGAGGTGACATCCTTGTTGGGCTATACTAGGCTGTCTCGCGCACAGGAGGCCAAGATCGATGGTCGGAGGATCAGGATCGAAGTCGTGTGCGAAGTCCTCAAGATGAAATGTGTCGACGAAGATGGGAGGTGTGCATCAGTTAGTATCGTGAGCTATACGTGGCATTTCCGGGTCGAAGGACGTGGCACTGGCAAATTGTTCATAAACACGATAGCTTGCGATTAATTAAGTCCGTATCATTATGAGCTTTGGTGCCTTGTTGACTGTGTGCCACCTGCTCCCTTGGGCGTGATTAACTCCGAGAGAGGAAAGAAACAAGACTAGCCTGCGTGTTTCCGGCATTACCATTCATAAGGCTTGATTGTCCTTAACGCAGTTGTCAAACAATGAAAGCCAGGGGACATGCAAAGGATTGATAAGAAAATCTCAATTCCACACACCGTATTCATCGGCGATCTGGGACTACAAAAACGTGCCCCATGTAACTTGTGTATATCCAGACGAGTGCCCCCGGGCAACGAAGTATCTCGCCACCAATCCATCATTTTATGAAACACATCCACAACTGTGCCCAAGACATGCCTCTCCTAACTCATGATCAAAAGCCAAGCGTTTGGCGATTTTCGCCCGTAGAATTGTACCCCCCAGCCGCAATGTTGACTGGTTCTGAAGGGATCAACTTAGACTGCCTCCTTGTCTTTGCTCCTTGGTCAGGAGGCACGACCTTGCCATTGAAACCTTTCTTCATCTGTTCTAAACGCGACCAGTACTGTCGGGAGGATTCACTAGCTCGCCGTTCCCACGGTCCCAAGATCACCATCTCAGCCTTCATGATACCACTCCACTTCTTGAGGTTCTCAGTAGACACATCGGATACCTCTTGAGCCCACTTCAACTTGAGTTGATCGGTAAACCGATCAACAAGTAGCCAGCGCCGAACTTTTGGTGACCTTGCTGAAGCTTCCACAGCAGAATAATGCTGCTTGCGTCCTTGGAACGAGATAGAGGCGCCATGCCGGGTGAGGAATTTCACCGACTTCAGAATTCCCGCTCTTGAAGCAGTCATCAAGGCGGATCCCTCTGTACATCCCTCGAAGTCAATTAGACTCCCAATAGAAAGAAGGTTCTTCATGACCTCTGTGTTTCCTATGGCTGCAGCACGACATAACGGACTCCACGCGTCAGCAGGCTCTGTATTCAGTAGCTTCCGGAAGCGTTCGAAGGACATCTTGCGGCAGTAAAGTCGAAACCCTGACGGGAGACAAGCAGCTTCCGGGCATGCGTGGCATTTGAGAAGTGTTGACCGGGACATTGGTGCGAGATCTGTAAGCTGGAAGTCTCCATTGAGAAGGAGAGCCGTCATTGATGTCCTATGCATACTGATATGGACAGCAGACCAGCCAGACTTGTTGGCTTGATAGGGGTCGATAAGCATTCCAGTAAGTCTGAGAAATGTTGACGGTACTATGCTGGCTGTTTTGGTTTCGTCACAGTTGTCCAGTAGGTGGTGTAGACAATTGGATCCGACGTGATCTGTTGTATGAAGATTGGCGCCAATTCTCACCAGATAGATGATCAAAGGAGAGCTTCGACTTTTGCAAGCTCCTATAAGTGGGCCCATGCCTTTACTATCGCGGTGGTTCAGGTTGCTGCCAGCTCGGACAAGCATGTTGACGATGAAGAAAGCGTCCATGCCAACTAACCGCTGAGTTGCATAGATTAGGGGCGTGCGATTGAATGAGTCCGTTGCTTCAACGTCGGCACCGTTATCGAGCAGGAGCCGAATGGCGGTTCTGTTAGCCCTCTCAATGGCCATATGTAATGGTGGAAAGCCGTTGCATGGCATATCCACGGACATTTGACCAACAGTCAGTCTGGCAACACCAGCCCGTTCCCTATTACTTGTATTAGCATTAAATTCACCATAATACTGAGATAATACTAACCCGTACTCCTTTTCATTCGCCCGTATGTGATTCAGGAGAATGCTTAACCCTCCAGTATTAGCCTCGTCAACTGCTATGTAGATGGGGCTGATGGACTCGCTCAGTATACTGCCACCGTCTGCAAGATATTGATCCAGCATAGTTGGCAGTATTGGGTTCAGATTATCTTTCCTGGGCATGTCATGAACAGCAGATGTCCCATCTCCATTGTAACAATTGGCGTTTGCACCCCTTTCCAGAAGCCATTCCACGATCTCCAACATCCCATGCCTAATGGCGACTGCTAGAGGGGTGAAACCGCCAGTTCCCTCTTCTGAGATATCGATATCAATCGAAGACTGTCGATCCAAAAGGGTTTTGCAGGTGGAAAGGCTTCCAGCCCGAACCCCCCGTGAAACGGCTTTTGCGAGAGCAGAGGAGGGAACATTATCCCACACTGGAGCTACAGCAGACGACTGTGCAGCATGCGCTTTTAAGCGATCAATGATCAACTGCTGGTTGTTTTCGTAGGCCAAAAAGAGCGGCGTCATTCCATCTGACCTGGCCGTTATTTCGCTGCCTAGCTCTAGCAATCTTTCAACCAAACCGAGGTTGCCTTTCTCAACCGCAATGTGGAGAGCCAGCTGGCCGTCAGCTGACCTGGCATTGACATTTGCGCCCCGAGACACCAGAGCTTCAACGCAATTGATGCTTCCTCCCATTGCTGCCCAATGCAATGCGGTAAATCCATTGTCTGTGGCGGCTTCCAAATTGATTGAGGGTACATTTTGGAGGAGCAATAGAAGAACGTCTGCAGAAGCCGTCACGGCAACATGAAGTGGCGTCGTGTCATTGAAGGTTTCTGACTGATACACAGTCCTACACCCATGTTCCCAATCTATCGTCCATGTGGGCTCTCTGGGAGATAGCAGCCTTGACATGAAGAGCATGGCCCCTCGCGCAGCTGCCATGTGAACGGCAGTCCACCCGTGTAGAGATGGGATAAGGGGATCGGCTCCCAGTTCAAGAAGGACACAGGCCAACTCGAAAGTCTTTTGGTCCAAGTGACAAGTCAATCCAGTATCGCCCACATCGGAAGCAGTACGTAGGTTTGGGCTGGCGCCCGCCTCTATTGTCAGTTCGAGTATCTTCCGCCTGAATTGCTGTTCATCCATATCGGTCGAGACATGCATGAGCCCCAATCCGGAAGTCGGATTTGTTTGATTTATCGATCCCGGGTCTGCGTGCTTCAAAAACTCTTCAATTCGGAAGACATTTTCGTCATCGACAGCTGGCAGCGTGTAAATATGCTCAAGGGCAGAAATTCCTTCAACACGTCGATGCACCTTAACGCCGCGTCTCATCAACTGGAATGACGTCATGTCGTAGTCTAGGTTCGTTGAAAGCTTCAGAACTTGAACCGCGCAATCTGTGTCTTGGAATGAAGTCCAGTACTCTGTGGCTTCGAGCAAAAGACACATTGTGGAGTCAGAGATGGGAAAGTCGCCTTCGTCGAAATCTTTTGAAAATGCCGAGAACAATCCAGCGAACGAAAAAAGGCCAGATTTCAATCGAGCTTTCTCGTATTGCTTCAGAACACCATCCTGAACTAGACTTTTGACCACTAGGTCAGCAGCCTTGTAACGTTTTCTAAGCGCATGCTGCGAGAGATTTGCAGTGTTAGATTCCCAAATATTCGAAATTTCCAAAGACTCGAAATGCAGCAGCAGAGGCTGAATCAAAAAGCTCAATACGTCTGAGGACGGTGGATCGAAATTCGTATTATGGAGGTAATGTTCCCATGGCATCTTTCCATCACTCCGGAGCCCTCGAGAACCAGGTAAGATCTGTTCAAATCGAATAGCCAGGCCCAATTCAGTGTTTGCTTGCAGGCAGTGTAATGGGCTTTTGGAGCTGTAGTCGAGAG